TATGTCCAGAACGGCTTGACCGATTTTTAATTTTTTTTTTTAAATTACTTGTGACGATGCCGCCTTCAAAATATGTTACGTCCGATTCAAAATTTTTTATATTTTATTAGTTATGCAATCTCCAAAATGGACTTTGGTGGTACAGGATAAGAGACTTGTAGTGTCTCTTATCTCTTATTTTTGATTTTTGAACATGGCCGGAGCCACTAAAAAAAACCGCGTCTCCTGATCTCACGCAATGACGCTAAACGACAACGCGATCGATTACGTGCACTGGGACAATCCCAACGAGCTGATGGATCGTCTACGATTGCTCGACGCTTCACACCGAGCAGGGAACAACTCACGACAACGAGATGTTGTCGATCATCGAGGAACTTCGCGAAGCCGGTCTTATTATAAATTAAATCGCGTATTGACAAAACGAGTCAGTCGAGTGACAACAGCGAGAAAAAATACATTATTTTCTTGTATATTACGCGTCGAATCATGAAAAAGAGATCTGATGAAAAGAGAGAAGTTAGCTACGAGAAACATCGACTCGTCGAGGAATTGCACGCTCCTGCGAGAAGAAATTTTCCGCGAAGGCGCGTCATAGTCCGGGGATACGACGATCTGTGACAGGCTGATATCGTTAAGATGCGCCCGTATTCGAGCTTTAACAGAGGCCACCACTACATACTCACCGTTATCGATGTGTTGAGCAAGTACGCGTAAGCCGTACTACTCAAGAGCAAGAGCGGAAGCGAGACGGCTGACGCTATCGCTGAGATCGTTCGAGCGAGTGGAAGATGTCCGAAAAATTTACAAACAGATAAGGGAAGGAGTTTTACAACGCCGATGTACAGAAAATCTTGAAAAAACACGACGTTAATCATTATTCCATGTATTCAACGTTGAAAGCGTCAGTGGTCGAGCGGTTCAATCGCACGCTCAAGAACGACATGTGGGAGATGTTTACGCTCAACGGCAATTACAAGTGGGTTGACGAACTGCCGCGTCTCGTGTCAGATTACAACGCGCGCAAGCATCGCACCATCGGCATGCGACCTGTCGACGTAACTCCCGCGATCGCCGAAAGACTCTTGGGCACAGTGTAGATCGCGATAAAGATCGCGGGTCCGGCAAAATTCAAAATAGGCGATTCGATACGCGTGAACAAGTACAAGACGGTTTTTGAGAAGGGTTACACGCCAAATTGGACCACCGAGGTGTTTACGATCGTTAAGGTACACCGTACCAATCCCGTAACCTATCTACTTGAGGACTATTGCAGAAAATCCTTCGTTGGAGCGTTCTACGAGCATGAGTTGCATCGCGCTACTCATCCGGACGTGTATCTCGTGGAAAAGGTACTGCGCAAGAAGGAAGACATGGTGTACGTCAAGTGGTTGGGATTCGATAGATCGCACAATTCATGGATACACAAAAACAATGTCATTCGAAAAAATTTTTTATTCATATATATTTTGTATAGATATATCAATATAAGTATATAATCGTATAAAATATATTTTTTATTATCCCTTCCATCTTTGTTTTTAGAGTATACATATATAAAATACGTATATAAATGTATGATCATGAAATAAAAAATAATAGTAATACGTAATAAATGGTATTACATAAAATATAATAGTAATACTTATATATAAAAGTAAAAAACGTGCATGACGAAATTATAATTATAATTATAATAATAATACATAATAGTTATACATATTCACTGTATGAAAATATAAAAAATGCAGAAAAACATACACGAAGTACAATTAAAGTACATAAGAAAATTGTAATACATAAAGCATACTAGTAATACATATTCACTGTATGAAAATATAAAAAAAATTTTGAAAAACGTACACGAAATACAAATTAAGATAATACATAAGAAAATTGTAATACATAAAGCATAATAGTAATACATATTCAGTGTATGAAAATATAAAAAATGTAAAAACATAATAGTAATATAAATGTTGATACATATAAATTACAAAGATATCCGCCAATGTCCCCACGTTAACGTCTCCGTCGAGTCCGGTACGATGTATCGTTTGTCATCGTATGGACTCAGAGCGATTTTCGATTCGAATATCGTGTATACCTCGTGCAGTTTAGAT